TGCGATATCAATGCCACTCGCACTATGTACATATTAGCACTAGATCTAGTGCCATTTTAGCACTAGATCTAGTGCCATTTTAGCGCTAGATCTAGTGCCATTTTAGCACTAGATCTAGTACTATTTCGGATTAGTGCTACTAGCACTAACCACTCGCACTACGCCCATTTCGACACATTTACATACCTCGAAAATCTGATAAAATATTTTGACTGATCACTGGTGATACATGTATGCATCAAAGGTCACTGATCTCAGTGGAAATATGCATTGTTGTGTGTTCAATCAAGCAAATCATTTATCTTGTAATAATATCCTGGTAATGTATCTCCCAAATTCAATGGGAATACTATACTGGGTTACAAAACCAACTCATGGAGAGATTTTTTGCAGTCTGATACACATTTGCAAACCTACCAATAAAATCTTTACAGAAAACAAGATGTCAGAAAATCAATATAAGCACTTCTATGAACTGGGTGCCAAACTTTGATCAAGATTTGAAGCTAATAGAAAATATGTTTAGTTCAAAGTTATCAAATCAAAAACAATACATAAAAGGCAAAATGTTGCATCCACATTTTGAAAAAGAAAATTATTCTAAAATATATGTATTCTGTATTTGACAAACAGTTCATTTGACAAATGAAAATTCACAGGAATTTGTTTCAGCTATTAGAACAGAATGATAGAGCTTTTATAATACTGGTTTAAAAATGCAGATGTAGATTCTCGGGAGGCAACAGTACTGTCTTGTCTTGCACAAATTTAAAACATTAACATGTATTGATCGAAAGGTAATCCCGCTTTTGTTAGTCATACAAAGACAGTGATAAAAACGGAAGTCTACAATAAGTTGCGAAGTCTTTCAAGCCTCTAAATCCAAAAAGAATAATAGAGTAGCAATAATTTGCCCATTGCACACAACGGCAACAATGTGACAAAACAAGTCACGGCGTACGTCGGGAAGATCAACCCCAATTTGCTGCACTCCAATTTGTTATCACCAATCGCCAGTGACATTAATAACCCCAAAATTAAAAAAAAGATTAGATGTATTGTTATGCAAATTGACCGTGATGCTTGACATGAAGTCTAGGGAGAACACTGACGTAACCATATACGGATTTAGAACAGGCTCTTCTATCGTTTAACATTATGCTCACTCATGATGAATCAAACGCCGAGAGAAACATGCGCGTACACAGGGTGTGTGCTTGTTACATGCAATAGCCAATATTCTCAAGGCTAAGTTGTTAACTCTCAAGACAAGACTGCACAATCATTTGGCGAGGTCTGTCGTTGAGAAAATGATCGATTTTTTTTTTTGTTACCGTGAAAGCTTTTGGAAATTTCCTGGGAAGTGTAGAGAACATGGCAATAAAAGATTACGGGAAAGGGGCAAGAAAAGTACGACTTGAATGCGAACTACATTGCAGTGTTCTCCCCAGGCCTTTTAAGAGTATCAGGTCCGATACTGTTCTTTTTGAATATAGATGGAAAACCGTTGACTTTTTCAGTAACGTTCCAGACATTGCAAGATATATATATAATAATCAGTGATTCACCACTATTGGATTAACAAATTATTTACAATCATTCAAAATTATTATAGTGGTCATCGCTATCCGTTCGACCCAGTACTGACCTCCACCGCTATAGCGACACCACGAGCAGAGAAACGGACGGCTGAATTCCCCACGTTTAGCGATTTCAATTCAAAGTGACTACACTTAATCCATAGGCATACACTCAACAGCAAAGGCAAGGAAGTTTGTCAGTTTTATTCAAGATATAAATTTTCTATTTTACGCATTATGGCTACAGAACATGACAGAAAGTCCTTCCATGTGATCTAATATTTGTAAACAATCTATTTGCACACGACTCCCAGTGACTTCTCCTCGAGCAGACAGTAATGTTTCAAATTTTAATCTTTCTTAGATGAAACAAAGCAGGAGATTTCTATTTTATTCAATGTTTATTTATATTTGATATTTTTTCCAAACGAGGACAAAGAAGGCAAAATGGTCTCATGACGGGTTGATCACGATCTTCGGTTTGTATCAAAAGCACGACTCACAAATGAGGTATTTTTTCGAACGTAATTTGATAGGGACTAAACAAATTTCAATCATTGTCATATGTGAGTAACGAAAACAGCAGTGCTTGGCAAAGCAAATATTAGACTTTAATTATTCCATGTTTTTTTAACTAAATTTTCTGACCGGAAACCGACCGCTTTTTTTTGGCTCGCTCCTGCTATGGCTGGCTTCAGAAACATTGCCTGCTTGCCAACCGATCGCTGGAGTAACTATGATTGTACATTGTATGTATAAAGTTATGTTTTTATTCGTAATAATGACGATTCAAAATACAACGCGTATTGCTTCTCTGTATTGGGAAGGGGGACAAAAATGCCTTCGAATCACTTTACACATTGTAACATTTGCTACGCAAGTTGAACTGTGACCTGTATGTATATTTACGCCCGAACAACGCTCAAAATAATTTGACACTTATTTGTGAATGCTACTCACACTATGACCCTTACTCAATTTGCATAAGTAATACGAATGCTGTAGTTCAGAAAATCTATTGGGTCAACTTTTGCTCGTGTCTGGGTGCGCAAAACAAAACTGCACATATAATCATCGCATAGCTGAATTTCTACAAATCAAATGGAATTAAACTTCTAGTATTATGACTGTGACGATTAATCACTTGTCTGAGTACATGCGGCACCGAATTATTGGATTGGCAGAACCTGGACGAAAAATGAAAGAGATCTCAGAACAGTTAATTGTTGAGGAAAACAAAACAAATGCAGCCAGTGATACATTTTGAAAATAAAAATACAAAATTAATGCAATCAGAGGCGCGTTGGAAATAAATAAAACGTGTTGTGACACAGTCTTACCAGACTTTTTCATTTGCGCAATATAATGCTATTTCCTAAAGCACTTATATTTAATACATTGACGAAAAACACCGCAAAAAAAAACATAAATCAGGCTGTTCTTTGCCACTACTTTTCAGTACTTTGCCGTACTTTGCCACTACTTTGCCGTACTTTGCCGTACTTTGCCTCTACTTTGCCGTACTTTGCCTCTACTTTGCCTCTACTTTGCCTCACTTTGCCTCTACTTTGCCTCTACTTTGCCTCTACTTTGCCTCTACTTTGCCTCTACTTTGCC